TAAAATAAAAATTATGCGCCTTTCGGATTTTTTAAAAATTTTAGAGGTTACTAGATATTTCGTATTAAACATGTAGCTGCTATATTAAAAATATTTTGTGGTGTGTTGTTGCATAACTGACTAATTTCCAAGCATCGAATAGACGAAGAAAGGAAGCGAAGGGACGAAGGAACGCGAGGAAGTAAGGCGAGGAAGGAGCGAAGTGTGAGTATGGGGCTTAAGATTCTGTCGCGCACGTCCCTGAAAATATGAGCTGCTAAACTAGAAATTTAGCAAGTGTGGACACGTTGTTTCATGTTACAATAGCAATGTTGCACAACATCTTTTGATCTTTACCGACTACAAATGGATAACATCTAGCAAGTTATATAGCATCGAAATTTGCTAAATATAACTAAAAAATATGTAAAATGTTATATAACTTTGCTATACAGCAGTGTTATATAGCAAGTGTGGACCGTCCTTAACAAGGCTGTAATTTATTTTTATATTGAATAAAAATTATTTTTAAATGGTGTAGTAAGAGAATTTTTTTTAGTAAATGATTTCGAAAGATTGACATCCACAAAATGATCATCGATTGTCAGTCGTCAGCCTTCTTTGACGTCGTTTTTTTTTCGATTATACGGTACCTTAATTATTAATTTATATAGTGCTCAACAGAACTTAAATGAAGTATTTACCGTGCTTATTTGGAATAATACAGAATTGAATGCCAAAATATTACTAGGTACATACATATTTTATAAAATATACCGTATGATCTTTAAAAAAACGGTATCACGTTGTCTTAGAAATACCGATCTTTATTCGATCACACGGTAATGATCTAATAATTATATTTTTGATGGATGTAGACTCTCTAACTAAATCTAATAAATACGGAATATTTCACTTACCTTTACTAGGGCCAATGTCCGTCCAAGTGTGATGGTCATCATGTAATTAGGTCTATAGGAATGCAATTAAATTTACATAGAAAAACGCTTTCCGCTTAAATTTGAATGAAGTTCTTCATTTCATATTCAATCGGGCTGTTAATTTGTAAATATATTTAAATTATTTAGGATAAAACAATTTACCGTTGTGATTATATTATGTTTCGTATGATTTAAAATGATAAATCGGCGTGAAGAATTGGTATTTGATTCAGTACAGGGTGTTTCAAAAAATATGTACCCTCTCTCGTAGGGGGATTCGTGTGTAAAAAAAGATTTGTTTTTTATATCTACATAGGTCCGATTCTGCCTTGTTTCGTATAACTACATGGGGTTAAATCATTTTTTTTTTCGATTTATTATAATTTTCGTCCAAGAGTTTTAGTGATTAGAATGAAATTTTATTTGTAAAAAAGTATCGTTAGATTCACCACGGATGTGCATATGGGATACCACTAGAATATTTTTCTAAAAAAAACATGTGCGCCACTGAGTTTTTTCTCTTGTTAGCAAAATTGTGTAGTCCGTTTAATGCCGATTAAAAGTTATCTCTTGATATTTTATCGATTTCGATCTCCTTGATGAGATAAACGCAATTTTATTAATGACAATTAATAAAATTAAATTAATAAATTATTTATTCAATCTAAAGCTTCATTCAGAACCTCGAAATCAGTGGAATAAATTAGTGATTTCAATTAGCGTAGAAGTTTGTTCATCTAATTTTAATGTAAGCATTCAGAACGTCATAATTAGTAGTAGTAATTTTCAATTATTGGAAAAAGTTAACAAACTTTTGACTTTTTCACTGATTATACTTTGATTATCACCCGTCAACAAAAATTTTGGTTAGAAATCAAAAGTTTATTATTTTATAAGCTAAATATTATGCTTTCTCTGTGGGTTCAACCAGGATACCAGACTACCGGAAGCTGTTGCTAGGATATTTTATTAATTTTAATTGTGTTTTTTAGACATTGTGAATGATCGTAAATTAAAAAGTATAAAGTGTAATTGAAACCACTAATTTATTCCACTAATTGCGAGGTTCTGAATGAAGCTTAATTATCAATAAATTTTGAAAAAAGAATGGTGTTTAAGATAAATACAAGATCTATTTTATAAAAGTTTTAACATTCTGTAACTTTAAAACTATGCTATTTCGCGCTCGTTGTTTACCTATAGGAGCTTTTATTTATTTTCATATTTCATTTTTATAAGGAAACAGTTAATACATACAGTGGTGGCCAAAAGTATGGAAACTTTTTTAATTTGTCATTTATGCTGAGAAATTAAAATATAAAATAAAACGACTTATATAATCGTGACCTACAAATAATTTCCTACAAAACCTAATACATTTAAATAAAAAATTACAGCTATCAAAAAATATATAAAAAATTATGAATATTTTCTTGGTCAAAAGTATGGAAACTTAAGAAGAATGTTTATTAAAATTCAAGATAATATAAAAATTACTAATATTTAGTGGAATATCCCTTTGAATTAATTACTTCTCTACATCTTCGTGGCATCGAATCAATCAATCTCGTACAATCTTTACTGGAAATGGCCGCCCATTCAGTATTTAGGACTTCCCATAATTCATTTTTATTTGAAATAGAATGGCTTCGAATTTTGCTATCCAAATGGTCCCATAAATTTTCTATGGGGTTAAGATCCGGAGACTGTGAGGGCCACTAATGGATTAGTGGAACATTATGTTCATTTAACCAATTTTGAACAAACCGAGATTTGTGCTTGGGATCATTGTCTTGCTAGAACAACCATCTGAGTGGCATTTCTTCATCAGCATGAGGCAGCATATTATTCTCCAATATGTCTTTGTACAAAAAACGGTCCATTATCCCATCAATTTTAACAAGAGGACCAACACCTGAGCGAGAAAAACACCCCCATACCATTATACTCCCACACCCCATGTTTTACTGTGGGCATCTGGTACTTATGGCTGTATCGTGTACCTTTTGGTCTTCGGACATAACGTCTCCCGTCACTACCAAACAGTTGAAACTTGCTTTCGTCGCTAAACAGTACAGTATTCCATTTCTGATAAGACCAGGTGAGATGATCTTGAACAAATTTAAAGCGGGCCATCCTATTTTTCTTTGATATTAGTGGTTTCTTCACCGCAACTCTTCCAAAAAGTCCCATGTCATCCAACCTTCTTCTCACCGTGCGTGCAGACACCGATATTCCCCTTGCACCCATTTCTCGAGAAATGTCTGTGGATGTTTTTCTTGGATCTCCCATTGATATTCTCTTCATTACTTTCATTGTCCTGTTGCACAACTTTCTTGGTCTTCCTGACTTAAAAGCTGTTGAAACGTTCCCTGTTTTATTAAATTTACGAATTATTTTCGGAAACGGTGCCTTTTAAAATGTTTAAATTTTTACTTATTTGAATTTGTTTATAACCGCTCTTGTATAATTCAACTATTTTATTTTTTAAATCCGTAGAGAAATATTTAGACTTGGGCATGATGTTTATATTTATCTGAAGCAAATCGTACCGTTTATCAGCTTAAACTAAATAATTTTAATGTATTTATTTATGGTTTCCATACTTTTGGCTACAAGAAATCTATTGCTCTCCTACAAAAACTGCTAAACAGTTTTTTTTCGCTGTGTAATTTTTGGAATACTTTTATTTGCTGATGAGCAGCATTTATATTCCTGAGAGTTTAAGCATAGCAATATTTTCTGTGATATTTTAAAAAGTAAAAAGTTTCCATACTTTTGGCCACCACTGTATTTAACACTTTGGCCGGTTAATGATATTAGAAAATTTTAAAGGCTGCTTTTAGACTTGAGTTAAGGCAAATTAATATAATTGCGTTTATCTCATCAAGGGGACCGAAATCGACAAAATATCAGGAGACAATTTTTAATCGGAATTAAACACAATTTTGCCAATCGGCCTACACAGTTCTGCTATCAAGATAAATAATCATTGGCGCACATATTTTTTTTAGAAAAACATTCTAGTTATAACAGAGTAAGTAGACGGTTTACTTACTCTGGTTATAACCCTTATGCACGTCCCGAGTGAATATGTCGACACTATCTTAGCATTAAAATATATCGCAACTATAGTAACTTTTTCTCCTCAAAATTTCATTAAAATCGCTAAAACTAAAAGCACTTGACAGAAAATTATAATAAATCGAAAAAAGTTGACGACTTTAACCCCCTGTAGCCACGACCTAGGTTGATATAAAAATATTATTTTTACGTAAAGAATCTCCTCAAAGAGGGAATTTCGAGTCTACACCAAATTTTAGTTATTTATATATTATAGTTACCAGAGACAGTTTTGTATTATTAAAAACAATATTAAAATTCGCGACCTTTCTTTTTCATTTTTGCGTGAGCAACTTGCACATTGCACACGCATATACAACACATTACAACTTGCATATTTCATGGAAAAATTTTGAATATCGTCAAAAAAATCATAACCGCTGTACAAATACAAGATCCCTGACAAAAAGCAGTGATCAAAATGAGATTATTTTATTTTTGATTAAGTTCTCTCCGATTCGTATTATAAACTTCTTCCGAAAACAAGATACAAATTCAAAATATGCCAGTTCAGGCAAATTATACACAAATTAAACGAATATACACTTGAAAGATTAAAGGAAATAGTTGATAAAAATTTCAGGAAAAAATTAGTTATAAACTGGCCGTTTCTAATTTTTTTGTATTGTAATCATTACAAAATATCTCATGATTGATTTATGATTAATTTTTCGTAATAGGTTATTGACTGATTTTTTTGACTGAAACATTTTACTGTCTAGATCCATCAAAAATATTATGACAATTTAAAAATATAATATTCAAATAATTTTAACATTTTTTATTTAATATAAATATATGTAGATATATATAGTGATCAAATTAGTATTTAAATTGCCACCAGATTATGGATTTTAAAAAGGTCGAAAATCCAAATAAATTAACTATGTATACAGGGTGTTAAAAAAGTGTTCGATATGTAAAATTACCCTGTATACAAACGTACTACATCTTATATTAACCTTTTAAAATCCATAATATTAGTATCCCGTCACCTCAACAAATGCCTATTACTTACCTGGTACTGTTTCCCCGTTAAACTTGATGTCAACTCGATGTGGTAAGGCCTGGTGAGGAGTGAAGGCCGCCCTAAACCGCTGGCCTCCCAAACTCCTCACACTTGAGGTCACGCGACCTCCTTCGACCAATATTTCCAAATCGCCAGAACCAGCACCGCTTCCATCGACTGTAATTTTCAAAAGAAAAACGTAATTGTAAACAAAGGTATTGGAAAAAAACTTTCAGTAATTATGTACAGGATGTCCCATTTTGCTTGAAATCATACAGTATCTCCGTTATTAGTGAAGATAGAAGGGTGCGATTTACACAAACCTGTCCCACTTTTTTGTCAAATGGGAGAATGGCCGTAAACAAAATTTTCATAGCCCTCTGAGCTACAGGATCTTTTTAAACATTTTGCAATTAGGGACACCCTATGTATCTCTGTTATTGTTAAGGGTATCGCAAAGGTAAAAACTGTTGTAAAATTGTAGAACTTTTTACGGGTAGAATAGAGGTGCCGTAGTCTGTTATTCTTCGAAAAGAATATTTTTAAAGATATGAACTAAAGTTGTGTTTTCTTAAATGGAACACCCTGTATATTTATAAATGATATGATCTGGCTTGCCATAAACGTCTCAAAAATATATATCACTCTATATTTATTTTCACTATTTTCTGCAAATTTAAAACTTTTTATTAAAAGATTTGATTTATTATTAGGCCATGATTGATAACAAAAGAAACTAAAGAATTATTAAAAGTATACTGCTACTTGTCTCTTGTTTTATTTTGGGAACCACTAATAAATTCTTTATATATTAGGGAAACTTAACTCTATATCGCTATTTATAAATCTTGGAAGCTATCGTACTGGAACTTTTAGATATTCCTTTAGCCAATTTACGTGAAATATACTTTCAGCACGATGGGACTCCCGCTCGTAACTAAGTAATATGAGAATAGTGAATGTAACATGAAAAAATATGAGAATTTTTTTAACCAGTATTTGAATTTGGACCAATGGGCCCATACGATGGCCTTCCATATCCCGGGATTTGACCGTTCTCGATTTCTGTATTCAGGGATTTAGGATTTTTGAAAAATTAAATACATCGTAGCAACTATGTAACAACAATGTCGAACACCTGGAAAATGCTTTAAAAATGCATTCAATAATGCATGATTTTAGATATTTGCAAACCCATCCCGTTATAATAAATTCCGTTATAAAAAAAATATACTCAAAGATTCAGTGGTAGCAGGATCAAGAGTAAAATATATCAATCCCAAATAAAAGTTCAATGTGTATGACTATTTTAGTAAATACGATTTTAATTTTTTTGTTATTTATCACGGCCTTCTAATTAAAATCATATACAGGGTGTCCCAGAAATAAGTGCAAGTATTTTAAGGGCTACCACCCCTTAAAATACTTGCACTTATTTCTGGGACACCCTGTATCTCGATAAAAGAAACATATTTTCTCTTTATCGTTTTTCAAATAAGTCCAAAATAACGGAGTTATTTTACTTTGAAATTTTCCAAAAAAAGTGATTTTTTGCTAAAATTTTGAGAACCACAGAATCTTTTCTGAATTTTCTTTCTTGTAAATTTAATCTAATACCTATGTTGCCATATTATCAAGAAATTATGTTTTTTAACTATAAACTAAAAAAAATTGCAAAAAATTTCGAATTTTCATTTTTTTTTTCGCGAAAAAAACCTCATAGGCGTGTTTCTGGGGTTGAACTATACTACCAGTTAAAATACTTGCACTTATTTCTGGGACACCCTGTATTTTAAATATTGCAGTAAATAATGAAACTAAATATAGAGTGATATATATCTTTGAGAAGCTCATAGCAGAACGGATCATATGATTTATAAATATACAGGGTGTTCTGTTTAAAAAAACATAACTTCAGTTCATATTTCAAAAATATTTTTTTCGTAGAAAAACAGAGTACGCCACTGTATTCTACGTAAAAATTTCTACAAGAACCAGTTTTCCTGAATAATCGAAAAATTGAATAAAATACAGTGTGTTGCATGCAAGTTGATATTAGCCACTACTACAAGACACACTTTGATAATTACATACTAACTTGGCCGGCTGATAACTGAATAGGCTGTTATATAATATCGTTTATTTACTTTCAAATTCCACAGGTTGTCCAAGAACCCCATCGGGTACCGGCTGGACCTTCACAGATGACGCACCACCGGCAGAACCCTTCGAACTGGTTTTGTAAATGGGAGAACTCCTTCCGTAGCTTCTTTCGTTGTAACTGTCGACGTTGTTCGTATATTTTTCGGAGTAATTGTGCTTGTAATCGGAATGTGACGACGTCGTGTACTTCTGCTCGTTCAATAAAAATCTAAAATTAATTATTATTAATATCAAATTTACATCTTCTATTTACTCTAATCTCACAAATACAATTAAAATCCAAAAGGAACAAAGCCAATTCGCATAGGAAGAGGTGTCAGACAGGGTGACACAATATCCCCTAAACTCTTTAACCAGGCATTAGAAGACGTTTTCAAAAATTTAGACTGGTAAGAAAAATGTATCAAAATATGTAGACAATACTTGAATCACCTAAGATATGCGGATGATATCGCCTTAATAACAGAAAAAGAAAGAAGAACTGGTAGAAATGCTGGAAGAACTGGATACAGCAGCTAGAAGAATAGGCCTACATATGAACTACACTAAAACTAAAATCATAACAAACAGATGAAAACATAACAACCAGAATAAACCAAGAAAAAATAGTTGAAGAGTATATACAGAATGGTCCGAACTGTATTCCGAAAACTTCGGCGGTGTATTCTGCAGATAAAAATAAGTAAAAAAGTTCGTATAAATGTATATCCTAAAATGCTTAGTTTCAGAGATACAGGGTGTAGAAGTTTCATTTTTATTTCGATTTTTTCTAAATAATTTCTGAAATAACGTCAATATTTGGATGAAAATTGGTGTCTGGGAGTTTTTTGACATGATAAAATTGATTTTGATGTCAATATGACTCCTACTAGTAGAGGGCGCCACCTACGTGTGTTTTAACTGTTTTGAAGCGTAGTAACTTTTTATCCGTACCTGTATAAAACTAGCGAGTGACAAAATATACATCTCTGTGATTTTTTACGTAAAAAATATCTCTTTATAAAAATCGTTACGAGCAACCGTTCTTAAGATATTTAGAATGGAAATAGTAAATACATGTCATTATTGACGAAAAATAACGTTGAATAGATAGTTATTTCACTGAAATAATAAATTTGGGAAATTTTTATTTTTTTAAATTAATCATTAATTTTTCTGCAAAAAATGATGATAAAACCGTTTCTGTTGAACATTTGACACAAAAACATTTCAAATTTATGATTTGAGTCTAATAACTATTTAGTCAACATATGTTTAATTTGTTGTGATGTATGTTTTTTATGGCAATGATGACAGGTATTGATAATTTCTATTCCAAATATCTCGAAAACCATTACACGTAGCGGTTTTTACCAAGAGACCTTTTTCACGTAAAAAACGTCGTAAATGTATATTTTTTTACTCAGTAGTTTTATACAGATACAGACGAAAAGCTATTACTCTTCAAACCAGTTAAAAAAATGTAGGTGGCGCCCTCTACTAGTAGGAGTCATATTGACATCAAAATCAAATTTCTCATGTCAAAAAGCTCCCAGACACCAATTTTCATCCAAATATTGACGTTACTTCAGAAATTATTTGGAAAAAATCGAAAAAAAAAATGAAACTTCTACACCCTGTATCTCTGAAACTAAGCATTTTAGGAACTTTTTTACTTATTTTTATATGCAGAATATGTTGCCGAAGTTCCCGGAATCCAGTTCGAACCACCCTGTATATCTGGGACAAATGATTAAACTGAAAAAAGAAAACCAAACAGCTGAAATAAAGAGACGAGTAAGACTGGCCTGGGCAGCATTTGGAAAATTAAGTTACATATTGAAAATCAAAAGATATCAACAGTACCTCAAAACCAAAGTATATAATCAATGTGTACTCCCTGAACTTACTTACGGATCCCAGACCTGGACACTAACAAAATCAAATATGGATAAGGTAACAAAAGCTCAAAGATCTATGGAAAGACAAATGCTTCATGTAAGGCTGGCAGATAGAAAAAGGAATGAGTGGATCAGAGGTAAAATAAAAGTAAGGGATGTTAGAAGTGAAGTAGCAAAATTGAAATGGAAGTTTGCCGGTCACAATGTCAGACAGAAGGATGATCGATGGAACAAATGCATCGTAAACTGGAGGCCCTGGAAGAATAGAACAAGTAGAGGAATACCTCAGATGAGATGGGCGGACGATCTCAGGAAACATGCAGGCACAAGATGGATGAGCACGGCGACAGAGAGGGAAGAGTGGAAGAGATTGGGGGATATCTTGGAGGCCTATCTCCAACGATGGACCGAAGAAGGCTGAATAGATAGATAGATTAATTTACTCTAATCATATCTAAAATTGAAGCAAATAATTTTCAATAATTTAATGATATTCCTTCTCACTGCCAATTTTATACGCATCAATTTAAAGTTAAAATTTACCTATTGTGCTCTTCCGTTTTTTGTCTTCTGATATCGGAATCTAGCTGCGACTCGGTGAGATTAGCTAAAGATTCTAAACTTCGTTCGGAAAAAATATTCTTCGTTTTATTGATGGCGTCCCACGAATCTCTTCTCGTTGTATTATCCACCATAGAAGAAACTTTTACTATTGGGCTTGTATCAACACCTAAAATCAAAAATAATTTTAGACATAATCAGTGGTTATTATATGAATCGTCCAGGGGATAAACATGATAAGCGCTATTTTACTAATTTTACACGAGAGCACTAGACCGGTTGGCGGTTATCAGGTTCTTTACGTGTGTTCTATATTTTTACTACTATAGGCATATATCAAGGATTTAACAACTTATTGCCCTGCAGAGTTTATAAATTTTGTAGGACGATAGGCCAATTAGACCTAATATAATATTGTAAAATCCTAAAATTAAGAACTTGGCGCTTATCAAGTTTTTCCCCTGGACCCTTATAATATAAGGGTCCTAACCTAACCTAACCTAAACATATTATGTTTTAGTTACTATACAGGGTGAGTCTTAAATAAGTGCAAATATTTTCAGGGCTGGTAGATCTCGATAAAAGAAACATATTTTCTCTTTACCGTTTTTCAAATAAGTCCAAAATAACTGAGCTATTTCACTTTGAAAATTTCCACAAAAAAAAATGATTTTTTGCTTAAACTTTGAGAACCACTGAATCTTTTCTGGGTCTTCTTTCTTGTAAATATAATCTACCTATGTTGCCATATTATCAAGAAATTATGTTTTTTAACTAAGAACTAAAAAAAATTCAAAAAACTCCAAATTTGAAAAAAAAAATCGCGAAGAAAACCTCACAATCCTGTTTCTGGGTCGAAATATACTATCTCCAAAAATATTGCCACTTTTATTTAAGACTCACCCTGTATAGTCAACATATACCGTATGATCGAAAAAAAAACGTCAAAGGCTGCTGGGGAATGACAATCGGTGATAATTTTGGCGAGATCAATCTCTAGATGTCATCTACTAAAAATTGACATAAAACTTAACACTCGAAAATTAACACTAATTATAGAAAGATTAAAAAAGATAGAACGTTTTCAGACACATAAATCTATTTCCAAAAAATATTTTTTTTTCTCCAATTTAAAAAAATAATAATTACAACTTTCTTAAAGCCAACTGGCAATAAGCGCCATAAATAAATGTAGACGAATTTGGGTCAAGTAAATGACTTGACCTCACCAAAATTATCATCGATTGTCATTCCCCAGCCCTCTTTAACCATCTTTCAGATTTGGTATTTTCTTATCTTATTTTTCCTAAACTGTATAGAAAATTCAGATCAAAAATTGTTCTTGAAAATGCATAATATCTCCAAATTGCTAACTAGATATTCAATTAGTCAGTATCAGAGAAACTAATTAACAGCATTGTTACACTGAGAATTTAGCTAAGGTGCCAACAAAATGTCAAGAAGAATATACTCCGAAGAATATAAGACTCTTTCCTGAAAATTATATATATTTTTTTTATTATGATTTATTAGCAATCAGAATATTTGCAGGGAAATTCTATGGGCTAATTTAATGACTTGAGAGCAATGACGCTCCAGTTAACGTGATGAGGTCTTCTCCAGTGAAAAATCCTCCTTAATATTCTTTCAAATCAGATGGCCATTGTCTTTTAAGTCTTCTTGTAGGTACTTGTTCAAGTACAGGCTGAAGTAAGGTATTGGTGTGATCGTGTAGTCTAATGAAATGTTTTTTACTCCGAGTTTGGATGACTTCTTTGACGTACGGAATTTTTAAATCTTCATGTATAGTGTGATTGGAGACATACCATGGTGCGTCTGTTATCATCCGTAGAATTTTAGATTGGCTCCTTTGTATTATGGCTATATTTGATTTACTAGCGCATCCCCAGAGTTCTGCTCCATATGTCCAAATAGGTATTATTATGGTTTTGTATAAAAGAAGTTTATTCTCTAGATATAGTTTGAATCTTCTTCCCATTAACCAATATAAGTCTTTTTATTTTTAAATCTATTTGCTTACGTTTCTTTACTATGTGTTCTTTCCAGGTAAGCTTAGTGTCCAAGTGCATGCCTAAATACTTGGTAGAGGAAGACTGCGGAATTAGTGTGTTGTTTAAATATACTGGAGGGCACTGGTCTCTATTTAAAGTAAAGTTAAGGTATTGGTGTGATCGTGTAGTCTAATGAAATATTTTTTACTCCGAGTTTGGATGACTTCTTTGACGTACGGAAATTTTAAATCTTCATGTATAGTGTGATTGGAGACATAACATGGTGCGTCTGTTATCATCCGTAGAATTTTAGATTGGCTCCTTTGTATTATGGCTATATTTGATTTACTAGCGCATCCCCAAGTTCTGCTCCATATGTCCAAATAGGTATTATTATGGTTTTGTATAAAAGAAGTTTATTCTCTAGCGATAGTTTGAATCTTCTTCTCATTAACCAATATAAGTCTTTTATTTTTAAATCTATTTGCTTACGTTTCTTTACTATGTGTTCTTTCCAGGTAAGCTTAGTGGCCAAGTGCATGCCTAAATACTTGGTAGAGGAAGACTGCGGAATTAGTGTGTTGTTTAAATATACTGGAGGGCACTGGTCTCTATTTAAAGTAAAAGTTAAGGTATTGGTGTGATCGTGTAGTCTAATGAAATATTTTTTACTCCGAGTTTGGATGACTTCTTTGACGTACGGAAATTTTAAATCTTCATGTATAGTGTGATTGGAGACATAACATGGTGCGTCTGTTATCATCCGTAGAATTTTAGATTGGCTCCTTTGTATTATGGCTATATTTGATTTACTAGCGCATCCCCAGAGTTCTGCTCCATATGTCCAAATAGGTATTATTATGGTTTTGTATAAAAGAAGTTTATTCTCTAGCGATAGTTTGAATCTTCTTCTCATTAACCAATATAAGTCTTTTATTTTTAAATCTATTTGCTTACGTTTCTTTACTATGTGTTCTTTCCAGGTAAGCTTAGTGGCCAAGTGCATGCCTAAATACTTGGTAGAGGAAGACTGCGGAATTAGTGTGTTGTTTAAATATACTGGAGGGCACTGGTCTCTATTTAAAGTAAAAGTTAAGGTATTGGTGTGATCGTGTAGTCTAATGAAATATTTTTTACTCCGAGTTTGGATGACTTCTTTGACGTACGGAAATTTTAAATCTTCATGTATAGTGTGATTGGAGACATAACATGGTGCGTCTGTTATCATCCGTAGAATTTTAGATTGGCTCCTTTGTATTATGGCTATATTTGATTTACTAGCGCATCCCCAGAGTTCTGCTCCATATGTCCAAATAGGTATTATTATGGTTTTGTATAAAAGAAGTTTATTCTCTAGCGATAGTTTGAATCTTCTTCTCATTAACCAATATAAGTCTTTTATTTTTAAATCTATTTGCTTACGTTTCTTTACTATGTGTTCTTTCCAGGTAAGCTTAGTGGCCAAGTGCATGCCTAAATACTTGGTAGAGGAAGACTGCGGAATTAGTGTGTTGTTTAAATATACTGGAGGGCACTGGTCTCTATTTAAAGTAAAAGTTAAGGTATTGGTGTGATCGTGTAGTCTAATGAAATATTTTTTACTCCGAGTTTGGATGACTTCTTTGACGTACGGAAATTTTAAATCTTCATGTATAGTGTGATTGGAGACATAACATGGTGCGTCTGTTATCATCCGTAGAATTTTAGATTGGCTCCTTTGTATTATGGCTATATTTGATTTACTAGCGCATCCCCAGAGTTCTGCTCCATATGTCCAAATAGGTATTATTATGGTTTTGTATAAAAGAAGTTTATTCTCTAGCGATAGTTTGAATCTTCTTCTCATTAACCAATATAAGTCTTTTATTTTTAAATCTATTTGCTTACGTTTCTTTACTATGTGTTCTTTCCAGGTAAGCTTAGTGGCCAAGTGCATGCCTAAATACTTGGTAGAGGAAGACTGCGGAATTAGTGTGTTGTTTAAATATACTGGAGGGCACTGGTCTCTATTTAAAGTAAAAGTTAAGGTATTGGTGTGATCGTGTAGTCTAATGAAATATTTTTTACTCCGAGTTTGGATGACTTCTTTGACGTACGGAAATTTTAAATCTTCATGTATAGTGTGATTGGAGACATACCATGGTGCGTCTGTTATCATCCGTAGAATTTTAGATTGGCTCCTTTGTATTATGGCTATATTTGATTTACTAGCGCATCCCCAGAGTTCTGCTCCATATGTCCAAATAGGTATTATTATGGTTTTGTATAAAAGAAGTTTATTCTCTAGCGATAGTTTAGATCTTCTTCCTATTAACCAATATAAGTCTTTTATTTTTAAATCTATTTGCTTACGTTTCTTTACTATGTGTTCTTTCCAGGTAAGCTTAGTGTCCAAGTGCATGCCTAAATACTTGGTAGAGGAAGACTGCGGAATTAGTGTGTTGTTTAAATATACTGGAGGGCACTGGTCTCTATTTAAAGTAAAAGTTACTTGGGCCGATTTTGATGGATTAATTTTTATTTTCCAATCACGTAACCATGCCTCTATTACATTTAGATGTCTTTGTAATATCAAGGAAGCTGTTTCCGGCTTTTTGTTGACAGCCATAATTACTGAGTCATCTGCAAAAGTAGCCGTTGTTGTTTCGTTGTTTGTGGGAAAGTCTGCTGTAAAAAGAACATAGAGTAGTGGTACTACTCTACCTTGTGGGACACCTGCATTTATGCTGTAATTTTCAGATATATCCTCACCTGTTCTGACTCTAAACACTCTACCATTTAGGTAGGATTTCAATATCGGAAAGTAGGACATTGGAAGATAATTTTTAATTTTGTAAAGTAGTCCTGTATGCCATATTTTGTCGAAAGCCTGACTAACATCAAGAAACACTGATGTGCAATACTTTTTGTCCTCAAGAGTTTGAGTTATATTGCTGGTAATCCGATGTATCTGCTGAATAGTGGAATGTCATTCTCGAAACCCAAACTGGGGATGTGGTATCCAGTTTTCGATTTTTGGATCTGAATTGATTCTACGAAGTATCAGTCTTTCAAAAATTTTGGAAACCAATGGTAGTAAGCTAATAGGGCGATATGAGGAGACTCTGTTTAAATCTTTACCGAGTTTTGGGATCATTATAATTTCAGCTGTTTTCAGCGATCTCGGCCAGTAGTTCAATCTTATGATGGCATTAAATATATATGTGATAAGTACTAAGTCCTTCTTTGGTAGTTCTTTTAACATTTTTGACGTTAACTTATCCACTCCAGGTGCCTTACGAGGGTTTAGGTTGTTAATTTCGTGCTGAATTTCTTTAACTGTTAAAAACTTGATTGCTGATATGTTTAATGGGAGAACTGACACACTTCTTTCTATTTCTTGATTTAAGTCATTGTTATGCGGTGAGAATACTTTTGCGAGGTGTTCTGGAAAAAGGTGTGCTTTTTCTTTATCACTTCTGACCCACGGCAGATTCAGGTCTAGCTCGTTACGAAGGGGAGGTGATTGAGTCTTTTAACTGCTGAGCAAATGTTTCTTTCTTTTTGTTGCTCAATACTACAGAAATGTTTCTCAATGTTGTACACTCATATTATCTCACCTACTGGGAGTTGGAGCAGAGGAATTTGGTTTGGATATTTTGGTGTTCCGGCTGAAAATGGGCCCCTGGCCTAAAAATTCTCCCAGTACTGTTTCAGTCAATGACCATTGTAATCATTGTCGCATTGACCAATCTACCAATGACAATATGCAATGGTGTTAGATCTAGAATGATCTCCATTGCTGCTGTTGGGCAGGTTCTCATGGCACCTGTGATGCAGATGCGTGCCAGTCTCGGTACTTTGCACAGGTTTTGCCTTGCCGTACGTTGCTCTAGTTTTGTGTACCAAGCAACTGCTCCATAGGTAATCATGGGTCTTACTATCATTGTATACATCCAGCGCAAAATGTTAGAGGCGCAGCTACATGTATTTTCGGTCAGTCTTCTTCATGTCATGTGGATTTGCTGGAAATGCTCTGAATATGCCTGTTCCATAGAAGTTTACTGTCCAGGGTTATTCCCAGATATTTGACTTCCTGTGATGGCAGTATTTCTTTTCAATCTAGTTAGATTCTTTTCAGGTTTTTCAGACCTCGTTTTCTGGCGAATGGCAGTACCGTTAATTTAACAAAGCTACTAACAGTTAAAATAAATATATTGCAAATTGTATACCTTCGCTGTAACTATTAAAATTTCGGTTTTCGGTATATCGCTTGTCGAATCTCGAAGATGAAGTGTAGCCACCCACATCTGGACTTGACCTTTCAAAACTGTTATTCCTAGAATCTGTAATTTTCATTGAAGACATTTTGTTTGTGAAACTGGAGTCTGAAGTTTTCTTAGCAAAACTGGGACTGGATGTGTCATAACGTCTTTCGTTCAATCTAAAAATAAACAGTTCTGAAATTACTATAAACATATTTTTTTCAATTGAAGAATGAATTTTTATGTGCGAAATAATCAAATACCGGTACCTTCTTTTGAGACATCAAAGAACCGGGATTCGAAATTATTAATTCCCGGTTCTTTCGGTACTTTCAGGACTCGGTAATAATAATTAAAAACATATTTTTTGTTACGTGCCAAAGACTTTTAATACTTTCTAGCGGTCCAAATCAAACTCTTCTAAATAAGTAGTGATGCTATCTCTTACTGTTCTTACTTCTGAAGTTATTTTGAAGTTTCTATAATGTTTATTAGCAATTATTGAAGTTTAAATATGTTATTTTATTATTTAGTATAATATTTGCTAAATGTATTAGTTATATTTTTTTGTTATGTTTTTATAGGCATTTGCAACTTTAATTGGAAAATGTTAAGTTTTTTTTAAATGATGATTTTTTTTATGTAATTTTTAAGCTGCCTATGTGTTTTCTTAATATAAATATAAAAAATTCTAAAAAATATACGAAATAATATATATGTACTGATTTCTTTCGAAAATCGACAACTATGAAACTATGATCCCTTCCCCGACACAAACGATACATTGTGAGACAGGAAATTGTAGAGAGAAACAAGTCCTATAACATAGGATACAACATTTTAATGAACAGTGCTTGGTTTGGTTCGCTTTCGAAAATCGACATCTATAAAACTATGATCCCTTCCATGACACAAACGGTATATTGTGAGACAGGAAATTGTAGAGAGAAACAAGCCCTATAACATAGGATACAACATCTTAATGAACAGTGCTTTTCATAAAATCTATAAAATGAAAAATATACGAAATAATATACATGTACTGATTTCTTTCGAAAATCGACAACTATGAAACTATGATCCCTTCCCCGACACAAACGGTACATTGTGAGACAGGAAATAGTAAAGAGAAACAAACCCTATAACATAGGATACAACATTTTAATGAACAGTGCTTGGTTTGGTTCGCTTTCGAAAATCGACATCTATAAAACTATGATCCCTTCCATGACACAAACGGTATATTGTGAGACAGGAAATTGTAGAGAGAAACCAGCCCTATAACATAGGATACAACATTTTAATGAACAGTGCTTTCCATCTTTTTTTTTCGCTTGTTGTTCATTATTTGTGTTCATGTTTACTGTCCCATAACTTCATAATTTGATATTATTTTCATTTGAAACTCAATTTTTTTGTCGGTTTTACTTTTGAGAACCATCCCTTGCTTGCTAATTGACGAACTCCACAATCATTCAACGAAAATATTTTAGTACGGTTCCGTAAACTCTAATTAATACTACCCTTATACTACCAACTACGGTTCAGATCTTTTTGGCCATCACAGAACCGGGCCTCGGTAACAATAATTAAAAATTATTTTTATGTTACGTGAGAAAGTCCTTTGATACTTTCTAGGGGTCGAAATAAAACCCTTCTAAATAAGTAATGATGCTGTTTCTTATTGTTCTTGCTTCTTTTCTCTTTTGAAGTTCCTATAATATTTACTATGTTATGTTTTAATAGATATTTGCATTTTTAATTCAATATTTTAGGGCTTTTGTTTCAAATTCAGTTAAGTTGGTTTATGTTGTTTGATATGAAATTTAAGTTACCTATACTTTTTTCTTTACTTGTGTTCATGTCAATTTTTTCATGACTAATTAGGTACTTAAATATTGTACGTATAAAGTACTGGCAACATATATAAAAGAAATGTTAGTGGAGGAGGTTGATGAGAAAATTGGAGAGTACCAGTGTGGATTTAGGAAAGGAAGAAGTACCGTTGACCAAATATTTACCCTTAGAGAAATACAAGCGGAGACTTATGAATATGGAAAACAGACTTTCAGCAGGCATATGTCAAAGTTAAAAGGACGGAGGTGTTTAGAGCATTAACAGAATTAGGGGTTAGCAATAAACTGACCAAGATGATAAAATTGACACTACAAGAGAAAGTAAATGAAGTCAAAGTAAACAAGAAAACAACGGAAAAATTTATAATCAGGGACGGATTAAGACAGGGGGATCCATTATCTGGAGTACTGTTTAGTGTAGTATTAGAAAAAGTTATAAAAGATGCGGGAATCAAGAGAGAGGGCCTTCTGTATACAAAAAGAAACCAATGCTTAGCCTTTGCCGATAATTTAGTTATCTTAGCAAGAGATCGGAAAGAGCTGATATCGGTGACCAAAAGACTAGAAAATTAAGCGCAAAAAGTAGGCTTAGTGTTTAATGAGAAGAAAACGAAATTTATGGAGTGATCAGACAGCGATTTTGAGAAGGAAAGATGTCTACAAATGAATTCTGAGAGAGGTAAACAATACAAGTTTGAGGAAGTTTGGTTTGGTTGGAGCTCTATTTCTAAGGAATCCAAATGTAACTCAAGAAATTATGGCAAGAATAATGACAGGAAATAGATGTGTCAGCACACCACAGAAAATTATTAAAAGTAAGAACATTTCTAGAAGTTTAAAAATCAGAATGTACCAAACAATGATACGACCAATAGTGCTGTATGCATGTGAAACGTGGACGTTCAATGCAACGGAAAGTTCGAGGCTAGAGATTTGGAAAAGAAAAATACTGAGAAAGATTTTTTGAGGCAAGAAGATAGAGAACATATGGACTAGAAGAACAAATGAAGAATTAAAGCAACTATATCAGGCATCGAGTATAATGGGAGTAGCAAGAACACAAAGACTGAGATGGCTGGGAAACATTGAAAGAATGACTGAAGCAAGAATTCCTAGTATAATAATGAAACGTGAAATAGGTGGAAAGAGAAGGAGGGGTAGACCGAGAATCAGATGGAAAAAGGATGTAGAAGAGGACTTGAGAAGGATAAGAGTGGATGGGTGGAGAATAAAGGCGAAAGACAGAAACAAATGGAGAAAGATAACCAATCAAGCCATGACCCTTTTAGGCTTTTAGAGCTATTATATACAGGGTGCTACAAATTCGAGGTACGAGCATTGGTATCTCGGTAACCGTAATAGATACGAACATAACTATGTTCGTATTTAATTTAACTAAATTGGGGCAAAATTGCGCTTTAGGATGTTCACAAAGATGCCATCAAAATTTTTTTAAAAATTTCAAGGATTGCTGAGTTTTTTGAAAAAAGCGGATTTTTTTGAAAATCATTTTTATTTTTTCCTGGAGTTACTTTTTAGGAAATCAAAAAACTAATTACACATTCTCATTGCCACTTTATTATGGCTATCTGATAGTATTTTTGGGTTTTCAAATTAGCTGATAATTTGTGAGATACAGTGGCTAACTTAATTTTTTTAAATACGGACCTGCATTTTTTATTTCAGATTTTGAAAGAACTCGCTCTCCTGAGTATAATGATATGCCACACTTAATATTTTTTTTGTTTTGGAAATTTGCACACAATTTATTTAAACTAATTTCAAGTCCGGCTCTGTTTTTTTTTAATATTTAATATATTCATCCTTACAATATTGATAAGCTTTCAAAGTTAACAGTGACGTGGGTTGAATACGGAAAATCAAATGCAATAAAATAATATAAATAAAATGTAATATAAACAATCAAATCATTTCCCCGGAAAATGGGTTGGAAATGGTAGAGCCGTATAATGGCCAACGAGGTTCCTGGACCGTCTGATGACGTCAAGTAATTCGACAGGTCCAAATTTTACAAAAAATTAAAATCAACACATCTAGGCAGTTACAATAAATAGTACAAAATGCATTAGAAATTATAAGAAGAAGATCTATTCAAAAGTTAATAATAAATATAAATAAAATCTAGGGAGGGTGGTAACCCTTTTGAACATGTAGACTATGAGTATTAGAAACTAGTTTGTAGAAGTTAAATTAATCATAATAACTACGATTAATATTATGCAAATTATTAGATCGAACACTAAGAATTTCAAATTCACAATAAGAAAAGTTAAAAATAATATCTTTAAATTGTTGATCTGGATATTAATTATTTGAATCTTTCAATTGGCTCAATTTTCCTTATTCAATGTTAATTAGCACTGATCAATATTGTTGCGTTGAATATAATCGGATTAAATAATTTAAAAAATAGAGTTGGACTTGAATTTTTTTAAATAATAATAATTAAATAGTTTTGTTGTACCCAAAACAGCAAAAAAGTATAAAGTGTGGCATATAATTGTACTCAGGAGACAGAGTTCTTTCAAAATCTGAAATAAAAAATGCAGGTCTGTATTTAAAAAAATTAAGTTTGCCTCTGTATCTCACAAATTATCAGCTAATTTCAAAATTTAAAAATACTTTCAGATAGCCCTAATAAAGTGACTATGAGAATGTGCAATTAGTTTTTCGATTTTATAAAAAGTAACGACAGGAAAAAATAAAATTAGTTTTCAAAAAAATCCGTTTTTTCCAAAGAACTCAGCAATCCTTGAAATTTTTAAAACTTTTTTGATGGCATCTTGGTGAACAGCCCTAGGCCCCAATTTAACCATCTTCGTATCTATTACGGTTTCCGAGATACCAATGCTCGTACCTCGAATTTGTAGCACCCTGTATAGATTACTTAATAATTTGATATTATTTTCATTAAAAATCTCAATTTTTTATCCTTTTGATAAACCATCCCTTGCTTTCTGATTGATAAACTGCACCACCATTGAACAAAAAAATAGTCAGTACCGAAATTCCCGGTTCCGGAAACCCTAATACCTACCTTTTGCTGGTTATTAAGTCAGGACTGTCCCTCCCATAAGCCGGACTGGGCCCTCTGTAACTAGGACTCTCGTTCCTTTGCGTGTAACTGGGACTAGAAGTTCTTTGCATATAGCTCGGGCTACCATTTCTTTCGTTAAAACTGGGAGAGCTCGAAGTAATCCTGCTCTTCTCCGCCACTGACCTACTATGGTAGTCCTGCGCGTATTTGTGCGTTTCTTCCAACAGGGGGCTGGCGTTCTGTCGGTAGCTGTTGTACAGGGTGTTTTTGGACGTTGGAGAGGGACTGGCATAACGATTGGTTGGACTTTGTCTGTAGGTGTTGTTCGGACTGGAATGAGAAGATTTGGATCGGCGCTGAGTACCGACGCGCATCATGAACGGAGAACCTTTAACGTCGTAACCGTTGAAGTAAACGTAAACCTAAAAAAAATTAAAACCGCTATACTACAGGGTCCGGCAATAGTGCGTCAGGCATCTGTAGCTCCTAGAATAAAAAATTTGGGAATTTTGTTTTTAAGTGTAAACATAAAGTATGTATGATGATGTATTTCAGGAAAATATTTTAACTTCTATAGGGTGGCTCAAAAAAGTGTGAGTGGATCGGGAGGATTTGTTTTAAATGGAACACCCTGTATATTATTACATCTTTGGCTTTCTTTCAGATCGCTTTACATAATCCTAAGGCATGAGTAAATATATTTCGATTAGTTTCAGATATATTAAAAAATAAATCAAAAATATAGTGTTGCAACGTCGGACGGGACATAGGAAATCCCATGTAAATTTTAATGGGGTCAATTATTGGCTTCCCTAATTATTTTAGAGAATAATTTTATTTAAGTTTATTGAAGAGCACTAAAACCCACATTCAAAAGAATAACTTTAGATATTTTTGATTAGCTCAACGAGTTTACGAGTTATCGCCGATTTCTTTTTAAATATTTCTCCTTTCTTATGGCCCTGTATTTACTTATGAGCACCAGTCAAGGTAAAAGATAACTGTCAAATGAAGTTGTCATTTCAGAAATTTACCGATTTAGTGCTTTATCATTATTGAAAACTCATTCCTACATCGGAAATCTTAAAGATGTATTTATAAATTCAAATTAATATGAATTAAAGTAAAATAAAGTAATCAATTACAAGGTTAATTATAGTATTATTACAATATTCAATAACTTATTATTAAAGCAAACTATACTACAGGGTCAAACTATACTAATTTTTTAGCTGATCTTTCCATCGTTCTCTTCCACGCACAATAAAACTTCCAAGTCGGTATCATTTCTTGCATCTTCTCTTTATTCCTGCCTTGCTTGACATCTGCAGTTATTTATTAGGGTACCTTTGGTCTCAAATCTCTGGATATTCCTTGCGATTGTAGATTTTCCAGGTATCGGTCTATTCGGATACAGAGCAGCAAACATGTCCGACACCTTTGATAACTATTTCTTTGATAATACCATTTAATCATCAATACTTTTTCTTCGGTAGTGTAATTCATGGCTAATATTTTCGATGTAGGTATGAGTTTTTAATAATAATAATAAAGCACTAAATAGATAAATTTCTGAAATGACAACTTCATTTGACAGTTATCTTTTACCTTGACTGGTGCTCATAAGTAAATACGGGGCCATAAGAAAGGAGAAATAGTTAAAAAGAAATCGGCGATAACTCGTAAACGGGCTAATCAAAAATATCTAAAGTTATTCTTTTGAATGTGGGTTTTAGTGCTCTTCAATAAACCTAAATAGATTTCCTATGTCCCGCTCGACGATGCAACACCCGGTATATTTTTCAACCCTTCTTAAAAAAATATTAAAAATACAAGAAAAGTCTTGATATGAAAACTATATTAGGTATTTACTTTAGATGGTCTGTTCTTACTGCTATAAATATGATAATCGTAAAAAATTTTGAATTATTCTAAATACAAAAAAATGTAATTTTTTTAATTCTCCATCTATTCAAAAAATAATATACAGGGTGTTCCATTTAAAAAAAAATTATTTTATATTTTAGAAAGTTTCCCATAGAATTTTGAACATCCTGTATGATTTACGATTACCTTATTTACAGCAAAGTAAATACGGACCATCTAAAGTAAATACTTAATATTATTTTTATTTTAGGACAGTTCTTGCATTTCTAATAATTTTTTTAAGAAAGGCTAAAAAATATATATTATTTTTTTATTAATATCTCTGAAAGTATCCAAATATATTTACTAGTATTTTAGTATTATGTAAAGTGATCTGAAAAGAAGCCAAAAATGCAATAATATACAGGGTGTTCCGTTTAAAAAAAATCATCTCGATCCACTCACACTATTTTGAGCCACTTCTAGAAGTTAAAATATTTTCCTGTATTACATCCTAGTATATACTTTAGGTTTGTACTTAAACAAAGTTCCCAAATTTTTTATTCTAGGAGCTGCAGATGTCCGACACACTATTGCCGGACAGATGCAAAATAATAACTGTTTATAATATATTTATAATTAATTGTATTTTTTATTTAATAAATAGACCTTATTCTAATGTGTGGTTGATTTAATCTAAATAGAGAACCTGGAACTTAAGCGACCCTAGCCAAAAACCCAAAGCTAGGTCGCAACAATATGCCATAAGCAAAGAGCAATATGGAAGGTTTAGTCTCCAAGAATTGTTTTTTCTTAATACGTACCCTATGTTTTCCAGCATCTTTGGGCGTGAAATGGATCCTGTAGTGGAACCCGTGGCTGTCCACCTTCTCAACATGACAATGAACTGACCGTTTATCATGTACAATATCCGCAAACACTTCTCCGGGCACCCCAACATTTCTACAGTCCAGCTCTATGCTGTGAGGAACCAATGGTAGAGCTCCTTCAAGTCCGGACACTCGTACACCGTTGGGGTCAAATACGGAACAGGTGAAGGGACCACCCTAGAACATGAAAATATAGAAGATATCTAAAGAATAGTATTATAAAATATGCAGCTACAGCCATAGTTGAAGTAACTGAGTATATGTACAAGGTGTCCCAAATTCGAGTATCATTATCGGAATCTCAGAAATTACAATAAGATAAAAGGAATTATAGAAGAGTTGCGCAATTTTATGATGAATTAAACTTGATTTTCATGCATCCGTTGTCCGACGATACGTTGATACGATATTAATTTCATTGGTTGTATTTAAAGGCTTCGATTGGTTAACCGTTTCTAACCAACCGAGGTCTTTAAATTCAACCAATAAAATTAATATATCGTATCATCGTATCGTCGGACAACGGATGCATGAAAATCAAGCTTTATCCGAATACTTCCAAAGATATTCGAAAAAAGAAGAGATATTATAAAATTATTTTTAATTTTTCTGGGTTTATTTGAAGAGAAGTTTTTATAATAGTTGCCACTTCATTGTTACTTTTTACTCTTTATAAGATAGTTCAATTGAAGATACCATCGTCAACTTAACTTTTTTAAATACGAACATGGATTTCTATTTCCTTTTTAAAAGACTATAATTTTATACTAATATCTAAATTATTTAGATTACCAACAAAATTAAAAAACTTCTAATATTAGAACTTATGGAGCAGTTGCTTGGTACACCAAACTAGAGCAACGTACAGCAAAGCAAAACCGGTGCAAAGTACAGAGACTGGCATGTATCTGCATCACAGGTGCCATGAGAACATGTCCAACAGCAGTAATGGAGGTCATTCTAGACCTAATACCACTGTATATTGTTGTTGGTAGTTATGCCAATGCAACAATGATTAGAATGGTCATTGACGGAAACAGTACTGGGAGAATTTTCAGGTCAAGGACTTGGAACACCCTCAAAAAGAAAATTCAACTTTTGAGAAACACCTCTCTGTAGTATTGAGTACTAAAAAGGATTGGAAGGAAAAAACGCTTACTCAGCATGTAAAAGACCATACCATAACGTGGTATGATGATGCTTCAAAAACCACAGCAGGGACAGAGATAGGAGTATTTAGGCCGAAAACTCAATACTCCCAACCTAATGGGCACCTACCCCAGTATCCTTCAGGCAGAAATTAAAAAAGAAGATATCGAAAGATGCGTACAATTTATCTTAAATAGGAACTATCGAAAACAGGAAATTACCATACTATACGATAGTCAAGCAGCACTAAACGCGTTCAACTCAGTAACCATCAATTCGAAGTTGGTCAAAGAATGCCTAGAGAAGCTCAACAAATTAGGCAAAGAAAATAAAGTCCTCCTACTCTGGGTGGCTGCTCACCAAGGGATAGAAGGCAATGAAAAAGCAAATGATCTAACTAGAAAAGAGAAAAAATCAAAGATTTTCCTTGGTTTCTAACAGGACACTGCCTCCTCAACGAACATCGCAGTAGGCTGAAGCTGAGAAACAACGGCGAATGCAGATTATGTGGGGAAAATAGGGAAACACCAGAACACCTTATCACTGAGTGCGCCGAGACGACGACCATTCGTGCCATGAACTTTGGTACGGCTGATGTCGAGGATAGAAAGAGATGGCCTCTGTGGAGCCGTCTCCAGATAGTGGCTTTGATAAAGCCCTGAGACTGTATGATGAGTTATAGCTCGTTATAACTCAAGAAAGGGAAACACACAATAGATCTTTAAGGTCGCGGTGATTAACTCCCCAGCTAAACATTCTACATTCTACGACATTAGAACTTATATTCTGAAAAATTATTTTATGGGTAAATGGGACCTGTTATACTAAATAAAATTTTCATTGCTACACATTACTGAATATATTCCAGAAAAAATAATACAGTCTTTAACACGGACCAGCTTAATAAATAAATCAATAAAATTAATTTAGTAAAATATTATATTAGATTTATTGGATTTTAAATGTTGACAGCTAGACTGTAATATTTTTCCTTCACTGTCAATATCCCAAACAATCCCGATTCATAAATTACCTAGTAATATACCGTATAATAAAAAAAAACAAAAAAAACGGCGTCCAGTTGACTTGGAAATGACGATCGATGACATTCCTTATATAATTTTACATATAAAATGACAGAGATTTTCATTTCTTCGCAATCGCTGACGTCGTTTTTTTTTTCGATCATATATTGTAGTTATCAAAAGGTTTTATTGTCAAGTATACTTCAGACGTTGGGAGAATGTCAGTTCTAATCGGAAATTACATTAAAATTTTACTATCAAAGCCTAAACTTTTTGATCATTCTGTATATTATACCTGTATTTGTTTTCCTTGATAAGTGATTTCTATCCGCCATTCTCCGGGTTCATCCGGTTTGAAGGTGGCACTATTAGTGCCATCTATCGTGGTCAACGGACAATCTAACGGTCTACCTGTAGGACTATAGGCAGTTACTAGAATATCTTCCCTCTTAGGAGCACCTAAAGAACACAAAAGGATCAGACAAAATACTTGGTTACGAAAAGTTATTGTGTAACTGTTAATCAATCTCTTCACAAATATATCTATCAGTTTATTACCTGTTGCATTCACCAACACCTGTACCAGTGAACCCAGTGCGCAAGGTGCCATTCCAGGTGGAGCTACTTCAACCAATGGTGGCAGGACTCGGAAATAGTGTCCAGCAAGTACTTCCTCTCCTTCGTATTTGACCACCAGCTCGTGCATGCCAATCTTAGATGGCACGAAGGATCCTCTGCCCTTGCTCAGGTGCTTGTCCAGGTAAGTTTTATTATCGGGACCTCGGATTTCTACCGAAAGTTTGGAGTAAGATAGTTCGGAGTCCAATAAAGTTATTTGATAGTGAGTCTAAAAAGAACACAAAAGAAATAATTAGTATTGTATTAAATTTGTATTATGTATTGGTGAACTAACTATATTTGGAATCAAAAAGTTACCTTTGAATAAAAAGATTAAAGGAGTACATATTGTTTAGGGTTCAGAACCGGAATTCCCGGTTCTTTCGTGACATCAAAGAACCGCTACTCGAAATTATTAATTCCCGGTTTTAAAATTTTCGGGACTTGGTAATAATAACTAAAAACATATTTTTTGTTACGTGCGAAAGACTTTATTTGATGCTTTCTAGCGGTGGAAATCAAACTCTTCTAAATAAGTAATGATTCTATCTCTTACTGTTCTTACTTCTGAAATTATTTTGAAGTTTCTATAATGTTCTTTTATATTTTTTTTTTCTGTTATGTTTTTATTAATATTGCACAAGACAAGAATTCTTGTCTTGAAATTCAATTTCTTGTCTTGTCTTGAAATTCAAGACAAGAAATTCTTGTCTTGCAGATTTCTTGAATGGCAAAGTCTTGTCTTGTCTTGCAAGACTCTTTAAATTTCTTGTGTTGAAAAATTTTACATTCTAACAAAAAGGTAATAATATTTCTATATTTTCTTTCATAGACAGCGTCGTATACAAAATCTAATACGAAAAAATGAACAACAACGATGCTAATTTTAGCAAAAAAATCTTAACGGACCGCAAACGAACTACGTCAACGCGCCCATTTGACGAAACAGGAGCCATTGCCAAATAAAAGCTAATAAGAATATGGAAAGGTCATGCTAGAGTATACTATTTGCGCTATTTGATACTACTTTTTGTTCGCAGGGCAATTTCGTGCATGAAAAGTAGTACCAAATAGTGCAAATAGCGTGCTCCACGAACCCACCTTTAGTTTCAACTACCGTTAGTTTTTTTAAAATACCATTATACCATATAATTTTGTCTGTAATACCAATTACCAATATACGGTTTGTTGCCTCAACTTTATTTCATTTTAATTCAAAAACACTGGCTATAATAGAAAAAAAATGAACACTGGTCAATATTAATGCCGGGTTTATACAACATTTGCATAAGTCGAAATCATAACCACAGTCTTAATCATCGTCATCATCACAACGCAATTTAAATGTGCGTTTATAGAACATTTTTATAATCATAATTTTTATATCAGTGAAGTTGGGTAACATAATTAAAGGCTATGTTCATGGTAGATGTCAACAGGTTTATAGAAGTGGATAGTTTAACTTTTATGATTATGACTAGGATTGTGATTACGACTATGTAAATGTTGTATAAACCCGGCATAACTTGCGCAAAGACCTAATTATCACATAAAAAATGTATAATTTCTAACTTTCAAGAAATCTTGAATTCAAGAAATCTTGCAAGACTCTTGAAATTTCTTGCATATCAAAGTCTTGTCTTGTCTTGTCTTGAAATTCAAGACAAGAAATTTTGAAAGTCTTATCTTGAATTTCTTGCAAGAGTCTTGGTCTTGCAAGACTTTTTCAAGACTCTTGTGCAACACTAGTTTTTATAGGCATTTGCATCTTTAATTGAAAATGTTAAGTTTTTTTCTAATTTAGTTAAGTTGGTTTCGAGGTTGGTTGATGTTGTTTGATGTAATTGTTAAGCTCCCTATGTGTTTCCTTTTTTTTTTTCGCTTCCTTTCATTGTTCGTGTTTATGTTTACTTTCTCATGACTTAATAATTTGATATTATTTTCATTTGAAACTCAATTTTTCATCGGTTTTACTTTTGAGAACCATCCCTTGCTTGCTAATTGACGAACTCCACAATCGTTGAACGAAAATATTTTAGTACATATATTTTAGTAGGTTCTGGTAACTCTAATTAATACTACCAATTAGGGTTCAGACCTTTTTGGCCATCACAGAACCGGGCCTCGGTAACAATAATTAAAAACTTTTTTGTTATGTGAGAAACTCCTTTGATACTTTCTAGCGGTCGAAATCAAACTCTTCTAAATAAGTAATGATACTATTTCTTATTGTTTTTGCTTCTTTTCTCTTTTGAAGTTCCTATAATATTTATTATGATATGTTTTAATAGATATTTGCATTTTTAGTTCAATATTTTAGAGCTTTTATCTCAAATTCAGTTAAGTTGGTTTATGTTGGTTGATGTGAAATTTAAGTTACCTCTGCTTTTTTCTTTACTTGTGTTCATGTTAATTTTTTCTTAACTGACTACTTAATAATTTGATATTATTTTTATCAAAAATCTCAATTTTTTATCCATTTTACTTTGAAAAACCATCCCTTGCTTTCTGATTGATGAATTGCACCATTATTGAACAAAAATTAGTCAGTGCCGAAACTACCGAAAAAAAACGGGAGATCCCGATTCTTAAGAGGCGCTATAACGAAATTCCCGGTTCCGAAAAACAACTTCGGTTCCGGAAACCCTAATATTGTTATCCATATATTTATAAGTCCCGTTCAAGTACTCAAAACAAGTTACAAAAATGTATTGGATAAAAATCAATTATATAGCAATCCGTACGTCGATTTTGTTGTCACCGGTAATTTTGATTACGGTACCTAATTTTATGTCAATTTAAAATATTCTATAATTTTTTAAAAACAGAAATAATTAAAATTTAGACGACTTACGGTATTATTTGAGAGACACTCAAAAATATTGACACTTTATATGTTTACCATACGCACGAACAAAAACATTTAAAAAATAAATGGTTTCTTACACAAAAGGATGTACGAAAATCGAATACTAATTATTAATAACAATGCAACATATGCGTAATAGGTATAGTTTATGATTATAGCTTGGCTTTATCTAACCACCTGGGGTTATCATGATAATATGGGGCCACGAAAAGTAAAGGTACCTATTAACATTTTTGTAAAACTATAATGCTGAAACTGAATTTAATTTATTCAAAAATAAAATAGAATTTTAACTAAAATACTTGGTTTGTACTTTGCGATGATCAACCTTAGTTTGTAACTAGCAGAATGGTATGAAAACTAATAAGAAATTGAAAAAATTAAAAGTGGTTTCCAGAGAAGAAAATTAGGAAGAAATAGAAAATAAAAGGAAATAGAAAGAGAGGAAAGAAAATTGATTATTATAATTGATGCAGTTATAAATCTCTTCGCTACAGACAAAACCACGACTCTAGGAGCGCGACGGCTGGAGCGAACACGTCGCGGTCGAGATCGCGCGACACTACGTACTTACCTTACCCGTTCCAGTTACTACTGTTCGCGACCGATGAAATCTCGACACTAAGAGCGCGACAGCTGGAGCCAAACACGTCGCTATGTGGTTACTCCGGTTCGAGCTAACTCCAAGAACGATTATAAATAATTTATTTGCATTACAGTTGAGGGTTGGAACCTTTGGTGTTACACAGCAAAATAAAAACACTAAATCACCACAATACACCAAAACACTTTTACTTTTACACTGGACGCGCGTTTCGCTAACCATGTTAGCAGCATCAGCAAATGATTATAAACTAAAGTACAATCTACAAGTTGAGCGTTTATATACTCGCTCAGTGGGCACCGAGTGGGCGTGGCAAAATCTAGCCAACCCAAGGCAAAATCTACCAACAAGTTGATAAATTAATTAGAAAACGTAGGTATAGGTTAATGATTTCTGAAAATTCGACTTTTCAAGTGGAGAAAGATACGTCTAAATATTTTTCGATACCGTTTGATAGAGAGTTAGCCCGTGGTCTAAAAGGAATTTTTAAGAATGTCAATTATAAACTTGTGTATAGTGCTAATAATAAATTACAACAATTATTAGGTAATCAAAAGATAAAACACCTCCACTGGAAAGGTCGGGTATTTATGAAATTTCTTGTAAAGATTGTAATCAGAAATATGTTGGGCAAACTAGAAGATCAATATTAAGTAGATTTAAAGAACATTTAGCTCAGATAAGATATGGTAGACCGGATAAATCTTGCGTTGCCGAACATATTGTTGATAATGAACATTGTATAGATCTTAATAATTTAAAATTAATTAAACAAGCCTCAAATTAGAGGCAATTAGATGCATATGAAAGCATCAGAATTAATAAATGTAAAGATGGTATGAACAGAGTCAACGGTCCAATTCCTTCAAGTTCCTACTACTCTAGTGGCGGAAATCTAACTGTTACGCTCAGTTGGCTATGACTCGGTTGGCTAGATTTTGCCACGCCCACTCGGTGCCCACTGAGCGAGTATATAAACGCTCAACTTGTAGATTGTACTTTAGTTTATAATCATCTGCTGATGATGCTAACATGGTTAGCGAAACGCGCGTCCAGTGTAAAAGTAAAAGTGTTTTGGTGTATTTTGGTGATTTAGTGTTTTTTTTTATTATTTGCATATTATAAATAATGTATAGTTTCGTCGTTATTATGATCGTCGTTTTCCAGTAACAGGTTCCTGATTCGTTGTGCAGCGCGACACGACGTTACAAAAAAATACCGCTCTAAAATCGCGTTACTCAAATACCGACACAATAATATCACTAATAACTACACCCTAAATGCATAATTTCAATTAAAGGCAATATGACACTTACCGGTTCACCCACTCTTCCTGAGGTAGAGTTTAATGTCACGTTAATTAAATCGTGCAATGGCGGCCTTTCCGGAATCCATTGGAAGTGAGCAGCGTAAGCCATCACTCCCAAATGCTCGACGTTCTTGTCCGCCATATCTTTGGCTGAAAGTACTGGCTGAACCCCTAAAAATTTGGTTCAATAATAGTTAGTGATTCATCTGTTATGATATGCGTTTAAAAATTATATTATGTACAAAACCTCTTAATACAAGGTGGTCCGAACTGTGTTCCGGAAACTTCGGCAGCATATTCTGCAGATAAAAATAAGTAAAAAAGTTCGTATATAAATGTGTGCCCTAAAATCAGGGTTCGCAAAACTACATGTTACTTTGAAAAACTACATAAACTACATTACATGTAGTTAATGTAGTTTATGTAGAGGGTGTAGTTTATGTAACCTATGTATGTAACTTTCAAATATCAAAGGTTTGAGGTGAGGTTATAATAAGTTGAAGCTTTAAAAACACATAATATATTTAAGAAAACAGAAGAAATATGGCTTTAAATATCATATTTACATCATATTATCTCTTTTGCACCTCATACAAAGGAAAATTATTCATAAAATCAATACATAGTTTATTAACGTAGTTTTCATGTAGTTAATGAACGGGAAAAGACGTAGTTTTTGAAGAAAAACTACACGTAGTTAATCAGGTAAATTACGTCTTAATTAACTACTTCCGAACCCTGCCTAAAATGCTTAGGAGATACAGAATTTTCATTTTTATTTCAAAAAATTTTTTCCTAATCATTTATGAAGTAACATCAATATTTGGATGAAAATTGGTGTGTGGGAGTTTTTTTACTTGAGAAATTTGATTTTGGTGTCAATATCTACTTGGGGGCGCCACGTACATATTTTTTAACTGGTTTGTAGAGTACTCTAACTTAATAACTTTTCGTCCGTACCTGGTACCTGTATAAAACTACTGAGTAAGAAAATATACATTTACGACGTTTTTTTAGGTATAAAAGGTGTCTTGGTAAAAATCGCTACGAGTAATGGTTCTCGAGATATTTGGAATCTAAATTATCAATACCTGTCAACATTGACATAAATAAAACATGTTATTAGACTGACATCATAAATTTCAAATGTTTTTGTTTTTGTTTTGTTTCCAAAAGTTCAACAGAAACTGTTTTATCATCATTTTTTCGAAGAAAATTTATGATTAATTTAAAAAATATATTTTTTTTCAAATTTATTATTTTAGTCAAATAACTATTTACTCAACGTGTTTATTTTTTGTCAATAATGACATGTATTGACTATTTCCAATCTAATTATCTTGAGAACGGTTGCTCGTAGCGATTTTTACCAAGGGACATTTTTTACGTAAAAAGTCACGGAAATGTATATTTTTCGCTCAGTAGTTTTATACACGTTCGGAAGAAAAGTTATTACTCTTCAAAACAGTTAAAACACATGTAGGTGGCGCCCTCTACAAATAGTTGTAAATAAAAATAACATATTTAGTTTATTTTTGAGAAACTGGTGGTATGTTTATAGGAACTTTTTGTTATATTTTTACCTGTAGAATTATCCACCGAAATTAGATACACTGTTATTTTTACACTCTGTATATTAGAGTGAGCCAAAAAACTAACGTATTGAATTTATGGGTTAAAATGGACCTAATAACCGAGAAAAAAATATCCCCGGAAGGCAGGATTTTTATCTCATTTTTAAAAGGTGTCGGTGAAGATTCAAAGTTTTTCCATTAAATGAACCATAACTTTGAAACGGTTTACGATAAAAAAATTACATTGCGGATTCTTGTAGAGCATAAAATTTACTAAAAAATCTATGTGAGAGTAATTTTTTTCAATTCAATAACTTGTATATTTGAAAGCTTTGAAAAGTGAAAAAAATCAAAATATGCAGTTTTAGTGTTTATTGATTAAACATTTTCATATTTGGCAGAAAAGAAATAGATTACTCTCAGATAGATTTTTTAAAAAATGTCTGTACCTATGTGGCGGATTCATTTATCCAAAAAAATCCTTTATGGGTATTTCGCCACTGCACTGCAAGAAAAATCTACAAAATAAAATAGTTATTTTTTGTAAACACTTCTGCGTTAAACCTAAACGGACGCTGCTTGTCAGAAGTTGTGTTTACAGTTATAAAAATTTGCCTAACAAAGAAAAAAATGCTAACTATTTACTCAACGTGCTTATTTTTTGTCAATAATGACATGTATTGACTATTTCCAATCTAATGACTATCCACCCTATTTTATTGGCAAAACATAAAACGAAATACAAACCCCAAATCATAGACACAATGATAACAATACACAATATATACAACTTACAATTCCATACATACGAGGCGTTTGGGAAAAAATAAGAAAGATAGGAAAACAATATAACATACGAACATCTTTCAAAACACAAAATGCACTTCACACAAAAGATCCATTTTATCACAGACTAAACCAATAAATACAGAACAACAAACAAAAAATGTAATATACCAAATACCCTGTGAATGCGATAAATTTTACATTGGTGAAACATCTAGACCCTTAAATGTTAGAATTAAAGAACATAAAGATTATTTAAGAAAGGGAGATTTTCACAAATCTAAGATTTGTCAGCATTCATGGGACACAGGGAACAGAATAAATTTTAATAACGCCACAATTATAATGAAAGAAGCGATAGCCTCTAAAAGAAAAATAAAAGAGGCTTTTTTAATTCTATCTAATAAAAATAAATGTATTCGTCATGCATCTGTAGATGTTAGTAATGTATGGCAACCGCTTCTTTGATTTTAAAGAACATAACATAAATAAACATAACATGCGTAAAATTTAAAAATAATCATACAGAAAGTTTGGGGCTTTTTGGTTTTACCTTATTAAGTAATTGTTATCGGGTAATAATTGTTAATTTTGAAGTTTAACTTGATATAATGTCATTTTAACAGAACGTCAACGGTTTCTTGTAGACGTATCTGTTTTAAAAAAAGTAAAGTATTCTCGAATAGTTGAATTTAAATAATTCAAATAGTTTTTTTCGTTATTCTTTGTATTTTTCTTTTGCTTCCGACGACGGAAAGAGATAAACTTTCCGAAACGTTAAGCGTTTTTTTCTTTGTTAGGCAAATTTTGATATCTGTAAACATAACTTCTGACAAGCAGTGTCCGTTTAGATTTAACGCAGAGATGTTTACAAAAAATAACTATTTTATTTTGTAGATTTTCTTGCAGTGCAGTGGCGAAATACCCATAAAGGATTTTTTTGGAGAGATGAATCCGCCACATTAGGTATAGACATTTTTTATTACCTACCTAATCTTTTTCCTGCTGCAATAGCTTGATTTTGATTCTGTTCCCAATAAGCAGGGTCGCTCCTCATTTTTTCAGGAGCTGTAGCTGATCCCCCTAATGATCTGATTATTTCGCTAATTACTTTACCATCATTCCAGTCACTCTGAAGCAGAGAAAAATAAATCTTAGTACACTAACAAGATATATTCTTCATAAAACTTGGTTTTAATTTAAAAGAAAAATTATAATTTACACTGAAAATAAGTTTACATACCGTAAAGTTTTGTACTGGCCTCTCAAGTCTGGAATTTACCCATCTGAGCGTAGCGTGAAATCCCGGTGATCCAGGTTTCATGAAGTAGGAGAGATACGTCATACCCGATAGTTCGTCTAGCCAAGGTGAGGCTAAATATTCCGGCTCCAAGACAGCTGGAATGGAGAGTTCTTTCTGGGCAATGTCCATGGCACGTCGACAGTTTTCTATTGCATTGCCCTTATCTAAAAAAAGAAAATGTCTTTAATTTGAAATTTTGTAAAGATAATGACAAAAAAATGTTATATTTCAAGAATGACAACTCGCAGCAAAAATCTAGTTACACCACTGAATTTTACATGAAAAACTCTATAGGTCTCTATGTCCAACAGCAGCAGTGGAGGTCATCCTAGACCTAACACCACTGCATATTGTCGTCGGTATTTATGCCAATGCGACAATGATTAGATTCGTCATTAACGGAAACAGTACTGGGAGAAATTTCAGGTCAGGCGCTTGGAACACCCTCAAAAAGAAAATTTCACTTCTCCAACTCCCAGTGGATGACATACCAAGAATTTACAACTTTGAGAAACACCTCATTGTAGTACTGAGTAATAAAAAGGAATGAACGGAAGAAACGTTTGCTCAGCATGTAAAAGACCATACCATAACGTGGTATACTGATGCTGGGACAGGGATAGGAGTATTTAGGCCGAAAACTAAATACTCCGAATCAATGGGCCCCTACCCCAGCATCCTTCAGGCAGAAATCTACGCTATCGAAAGATGCGTACAATTTATCTTAGATAGGAACTATCGAAAACAGGAAATAGCCATCTTATCCGATAGTCAAGCAGCACTAAACACGATCAACTCAGTAACCATCAATTCGAAGTCGGTTAAAGAAAATGCCTAGAGAAGCTGAACAAATTAGACAAAGAAAATAAAGTCCTCCTATTCTGGGTGCCTACTCACCAAGGGATAGTAGGCAATAAAAAAGTAAATATCTAACTATAAAAGGAGCGAACACTTCACTAATTGGACCAGAACCGTTCTGTTTCCCAAGCGAGAACCAACTGAAAGCGGAACTGAAGAACCTGGAAGACTCCATCTGTAATCTGGAATGGGTGTCCTCCAACGGTCTAAGACACTCGAAAAAGTTCCTCACAACTTACGACCGAGAAAAATGAAAGATTTTCCTTGATTTAAGTAAAAACAATCTTCGGATTGTTACGGGGTTTCTAACAGGTCACTGTCTCCTCAACGAACACCTCAGTAGGGTGAAGCTGAAAAACAACGGCGAATGCAGATTCTGTGGGGAAAATGGAGAAACACCAGAACACCTTATCACTGAGTGCGCCGAGACGGCAACCGTTCGGGCCATGAACTTTGGTACGGCTGATGTCGAGGAAGGAGGGCTGGCCTTTGTAGAACCGTCTCAGATAATGGCTTTTTTGTTAAACCCCTGAGACTGTATGATGAGTTATAAGTCGTCATGACTCAAGAAAGGGGAACACACAATAGATCTGTAAGGTCGCGGTAACTCCCCTCCTAAACATTCTACATTCTACATTCTATGGGTCTTTAGAGCATCTCTAGATTCGTAAAAAAAGTAGTACAGTAATGCAAAAACCTCTCTTCCTGGTATATCAAAATTGTAGTGAATTCAATACATAACTGTTGTTAATCAGTACACCAAATGCATCTTAGCTGTGCGTTCTACCCTTGTATTTAACTTTCTTACCTAATCTTCTCCAATGAGGAAACAGTCCTGGTCGACAATAATCCACCAGCGCAGACAACAATACTCCAGAATTCCAATCTGTGGTAAGATTGGAAACTCTGCACTCCGGGAGAACAGCTTGTAACCAGGCCAACATCAACTTTCTAGGTGGGAATTTCGATCTACCTATCTGGTAGCGGACAATAAGTGACCAGATGAGTCCGAGAATTAGTTTGAGATTCCCGTTCACGATATCTACATTTCCTGCAAAAAAAACAAAAAAAATTAAAACAAATCATAGTTAAAACCTTTGGTCAAAACTAACATAACTACATAAACGAATAAGTAAAGCTAAATCGAAAAATGCGAACGAAATAAATCTCGTGAGTTTTTTTAGGGGGCCTTTTTTATGATTCATCGCCATCACGGTTTTTCTACCGAGCAGCAAAGGGCAAGGCACCACCTACCTGCTGAGTCTTATCCAGGCTCAGAACTCCAACGTTAGGATATCGAGTTGGCGAGTCATCTCGAGAGAGGAGGGTCATGGTCAGGTCTTCACAATAGGAATTGACCTCAAATCCAAGAAGGCAATAGAGAAAGAGGGATATATCCTCTATTATAGATACGGGGCAACACCGGTATCAGGTCTAAGGAGAAACCAAGTTTAAGAGGTGGAGAAAATGGGGACAGATCCTCCAGCCTCCACCTCACGGGTACCTCAGCCGGAGGCAAGCTCCTCGACTGTGAAGGGCACGGAGGGCTAAATCCCAACCGTGGAGGGTGTATACCGTTGTAGATGGTAGTCTACTCCTCGTAGGATGAACAATTGGTGTCAGAGGAGGGTGGGAAATACCCTATCCTCCCTACAACAGGAAGATCCTTATATTTGATGAGTTCTAGACTGTATGATGAATTAAAACTCAAGAAAAGGGAACACAATAGATCTTTAAGGCCGCGGTGATTAACCCCCATCCATTCATTCTACATCCTACGTTTACAAAAAATAACTTTTTTATAAGACAAAGATTTTTAAAGATATATAACATATAGACAGTATTTCAACTGCTGTAGTCTAAGTAGCAAAAGGATCCCACGACACCATTTTTATAATAAAATCTGTCTAAATATTGAAATTACAAGTTAAGAGTATATACGCGCTCAATTTTGTAGATATTAGTTTAGTTTTAATCATCTGCTGATGATGCTAACATGGTTAGCGAAGCACGCGTCCAGTGCAAAAGTAAAAGTGTTTTTCTTTTAATTTTTCTTTTAATCTGTTTTATTTTATCTATAAATATTGTGTTCTCGATATTTTTATCCATTGTTTCAAATATTTAGTTTCCATTTTCAGTATCAAAACAATGGAAAAGTAAAAGTGTTTTGGTGTATTGTGGTGATTTCGTGTTTTATTTTGCTGTTGTAACACCAAAGGTTCCCCAACCAAAAAAACCCTAACTGTAACAATACAATATTTGCTTCAAATTTGAAACATTGTTTATAGGTATTAACAGACTTTACTGAAGTTTCAAAAAATACCAAGAAATCAACAAATCGGTTCAAAATACAATTCGATATAATGTGTTAATGCATGACGTTACTTAATTATTCCTGTGTATTGTAAAAGTGATTTCATGGTAAATAAGAAAACCGGTGCGTGATTCCAACGAAAGCGTTTTTATTATCAATAGAGTTCCCACATCGCTAGAACAATTTATCAACTTTTACGTTATTTGAATAATGAAACGCTTTTTAATTCAATTTTAGAAAAAATCCCATTTTAAATACCATAAAAATGTGTATTATCTCTACTTATATAGATACGCAAATTTGATTTATACAGGGTGACCCAGGCTGAGCGTGCATTAGAAGTTTCTAGAGAACACAATATCTAGATCGGAGATTTTTTGCACATCATTGTTTTACAACAAGATCTATCGATTAAAAATATTTTCAATATGGCGGCACTTCCGGAGATACCGGAAGTTGACAGCAACTTTCTTATTTTAAATGGGCGTCCCTATTTGTTATTACATACTTCAATTCTTTGTAAAATTCTATGAATATTGATGTTAAACACTCTATACCTAACATTAACCGTTTTTAAGAAAAAAAATATTTAAAATTTTTGGACGAAAAAAATATCTGTCAAAAAAATTTGTATAGCCTAAAAGTCAAATTTAGTGATTACCACAGCTACTGTGGCATAAAGAGAAGACATCTAGCTATCTATTTCAAGAATTAAATTGTTCAAATGTCATATCATAATGGCGGTAGCTGTCATGAAATTGAGCGATTCAAAAGTTATCATAAACCATTTTCAAATGGAAACCCACTTTTTTATTTCACAAGTGAAAAGGTTTTTCAATTCGTTATTTTTTAACTATTCATGTTCCTGTACCAAAAAGAAATCGTTTTTAAGTTATTTAAGATTTAGTTTAAAAACGTATATTTTTCTTGATTTTTCTAGTTTCCTTTGACATTAAGAGTCAAACAGTCAGACAATTTATTTCCATCTGTCAGAAAACGAATTACTTGAATTTCCTATATTGTAAATACTGCCTGCTTAAGAATTTACACAGTGTATTTATAAACATATATCTCGTATTTTCGCTCTTTAATGATATTACACATTGCTCAAATGTTCTCCTCTTAAGATAAAGTAGATTCTAGATTTGAGATTTGAATTGAACTCGCTATTATATTGTAAAATTATAGTAAGACCATCTAGATAATATAGCCAATTATTTATTTATTTTTTAACTGAATATCTACAAAATGCAGTTCTCGTTAGTTTAAAAAAAATTAACATTCAAAAAATGACACTCTCACAGTTAATAAGAAAAAATAACAGCTAAAATTATTATAATTATTGAAAAAAGGAGATGTTTAACCATGTCAAGTATTCGATGTGGTCTTTCAACAATATGAAACTTATTTTAAAGCCAGGTTTATTCCGTGACATCAATTCTAATTTTAGATTTTTACATATATCGAGACCAGAACGTTTCTTTCTTTAAGTGCAGTTTTATTCAATTAATTTTAATTCATTTAACTGTTCTTTAACCACTTATTTAAAAAAAAATAATTAATAAACAATGCTTGTAATTTTACAGAACAGCCAAAAAATATTTAAATTAATAATTCATAATTCATTTTAATTTATATTGGTGAAGCTTAAGTCATTATTATTGCTAACTATGAGGTAAACAAATGACATTATACAGTTCTTAATAATTATTGAATAAATGAATAAGTAATGTCTTTATAACTTTATACTATAGCTAAAACAACTAACTATTAAGATGGAGCTGTTGGGTTTCTCTAAAGGTTCTATAAATTTGTCAGCAGTGTAATTTTTTACAACTAAATTATTTACTTTGTTTTCTAAAAAAAATCTGAGGCGTTAAGTTGCCAAACCCGTCTTATCCCAAAAACGTTGTTTCGAGATAATATGCAAAAAATGTTTTAGCAAATATTTTAAGCGTTATTTTACAAAAAAGGTGTCCATTGAGTGGAGTCATTGACTTGTATCTCGTTTTTCTAGAAATAAAAATTAATATTTAATTTTTAAAGAGAAAAAAAAACAAAAATAATTCGGACAAGGTGGCATGATGCATATTGGGAGTTTTGATACAAGATATTTGCAACCTAACTTGGAGTTATTAGGTATGCTATTTTACTAAAATTAGAAAATGATTTTTAAGGTTGTACCAGAGAAGATTAGATGTAGCCCTAGAGGAAGTGAAAGCCTGTAACGATGTAGAACTAGAGTATACCAACCTAAAAACCCTAATTAAAAAAGTAGCTTTCGAAGTTTTAGGTGAACAGAACATGCAGAAAAAAAAGATGAACCAGCTTGGATAACTGACAACATAAAGGCCTTAATCAATGACAAACAAAAATTCTATCAAAGATGGCTCTCAGACCGAACAGATACTAACTGGAGTCATTACAAGCAAAAAAATAGAGAGGTACGAGCCGCCATTAAGGTAGGAAAAACAGATATTTGGGAAAGAAGGTGCCAGCAAGTGGAAAGCCTAATCGGGGGCGCACGGAGTACGAGGTATGGAGAACAATCCGACAAATGAAAACCAATCAAACGGACAAGCTCTTGAATAGAATGGATATAGAAAAATGGCGCAACTACTATGCAGAATTACTGACAGAAAACCGACCAGAATTCCGAGCAGTAGAAGATGAGAACAACCTTGCAGGCACTTTAATGATAAGCAAAAGAGAAGTACATCAAAGTTTCAAAAGAATGAAAAATGGACGGTCACCAGGTCCTGGTAATATTGTAGCCGAATTGTTAAAGTGTGGAACCCAAAGACTACGCTGGCGTCTGGCAGAGCTATTTAACCAATGCTGCCTGCAAAGTAAACTACCCCGAGAATGGCGAGTGGCTCACATAGTGTCCATCTTTAAAAAGGGAAATCGTAACGACCCCACTTGTTATAGAGGCCTAAGCATTAACAGTTCGGTCAACAGACTTTTTGGAAAGGTGTTACAGGGTAGGCTCAGGGACAGTATTGGTGACAAAATCTCGGAAGACCAAAGCGGATTCACACCGGGGAAATCTTGCACAAATAACCTTTTTGTCCTGCAGCAGGTGATGGAAAAAAAGATAGCAGTAGATCAAGAAGTCCATCTAGCATTTATTGATTTGGAGAAAGCGTACGACTCTATTCCCCGCAGCAAGATATGGGAAGTATTGAATATCTTAGAAGTAGATAGACCTTTGCTTAAGATAATAAAATAGCTATATAAAGAAAATGAATCGTACGTTAAGATAGGACACAGGCTATCTAATCCAATTAACACCACAAAAGGGTTGCGACAAGGATGCAGCTTATCTCCTCTGATCTTCAACGCTTACGTCGAATTAGCCCTTAGGGAATGGAAGACGAAATATCAAGGTATGGGAATACCCATTGGGGACAACACACTATTTACCCTGAGCTTTGCAGACGATCAGGTCGTGATTGCGCAGGACTCATACGATCTAGAGTTCATGACTAAGAGGCTTTATCAAGTATACAACAAATGGGGACTTCAGGTTAGTCTAAAGAAGACCGAATACTTAGCTGTCAATTCCAACACTTGTTTTGAAGTCTTCATTAATGATAACGTCCAGATTCAACAAGTAGACAAATTTAAATACCTGGGTGCTACTATCAACAACGAGGGTTTGGGCAAAGAAGAAATACAAACCCGAATTCAGAAGAGCAAACAAGTTATTGGATGTCTTAACAGCCTCTGGTGGG